TATATTCCTGTGTGGAAGGTATTTATACTTTGGATTGCCTGATAATGTAAACCCCATGTCTTTACAGGTTTAAAAATTGGGCAATTACAATACTTCTTTTTTTTTTTTAAGTATTCAGACCTCACTCCCTTGAGAGAGGGTTTTTAGATGTGTTCCATTTGTCCACTAAAAAAAGTTGTCAATGTAATACTGCAGTTTCCTTGTCCATCCATTATTTAAGGCTGGATTCTTTCTAATGAAGCAAACTTTGGGTGTTGTAACAAACCAGGATGGACTTAAATACTTCATGGCCTTTTGCAGAGGTGGAGCTGACACGGGCTCATGTCCCTGTTGCCATCATGAGAGTTACTGTCTCCCCTTAATTTTTAGGAGAAATATTTAAATATTATTACATTGAAAATTCAGTTTGGGGGGTGCTGTGAAGCCCTGAGAGGTGGCAGCCTGTGCCCAGGGATTGCTTTGAACCCCCACCTGCCTGCCTGGAAATTTGGGAAGGGACTGGAGCCAGGCTTTGGGAAAATCTCCCTTCCCATCTCAACCCCTACGTGGGCAACCAGGTGTTCAGGGCTGGGGTTTGGATGCTGAGTGTTTGCAGAGATCCTGGTGGGAAAAGGATGGTGCCAGACTCTGCTCAGTGGTACCAGTGACAGGATGAGGAGCAATGGCCAGAAACTAAAACACAAGTTCCACCTCAACATGAGGAAGAACTTCTTCCCATGGAGGTGGCAGAGCACTGGAACAGCTGCCCAGGGAGGGGGGGAAGTCGTTCTCTGGACACATCCCTGTGTCACCTGCTCCAGGTGACCCTGCCTGGGCAGGGGGTTGGACTGGGGGATCTCCAGAGGTCCCTTCCAGCCCCAGCTATTCTGGGATTCTGCAGTAACTCTTCTGAAAATCTGGCCCTCAGCTGTGCCTAAGCATTCAGGAATAACCAATAACCTGGGTGATGCTGAGTCACAGCCTTGGAGGTCCCTGTCCCACCCAGGGGGGAACCACCACTCCAGCACAGAAAAATCAGAGCTCTGCTGCAAGAACTGGTTTGCAACACCGAGTGAGAGCTGCTGGCACCACCAGAGGCTGTTTGGCTCCTGTCACACTGGTGCCCTGTGGGTCATCCTCCAGGGGATGGCTCACACAGGACATGGGACTTCAGTCTTTCACTCTTGGAAGTGTAAATCCAGCCCCGTTTTCCAGCAAGGGTAAAACAGCATCCCAGGGCTGTGCATCCAGGGCTGTGCCACAGCTCTTGTCTCTGGAATGACAGCCCAGTTCCCACATCCTGCCCCTGAGTCTGGCATGGGGACATTGCAGGGATGTCCAGGGGGAGCTTGGCCCAAAATATCAGTGGGATGAGGCTTTTAAGGGGGAAAAAATGACTATTTTCTGTCTCCAGCTTATGCAGATGTGTGTAAGCTGTGCTTGAGAACCTCCCCCTGCCAGGGGGTCCTGCCCTGAGCCCACCCAGGTTTGTGTCACTGGGGACAGGTTTGTAGCTAAAGGAGAACCAAGTTTTTCTGTGGAAGGCTGATTTTAGAAAGCTCTTGAGGGGGATTTGGATGCTCACTCTCAACATTCACTCCCATGAAGAGGAAGGGAACCTGCAATCCCACACAGGGGCTCTGACAGATCCCAATCCTACAGCACTGAACTGGCAGCAAGAAGAGCTGGTGCCCTGGTACCTCCCTGAGTGAGAGAAATGCCTCAGTCAGGGTTTTGCAGCAGATTTTGGGCTACTTGGTTTAAATTCGCTGGGCAGAGGCTGAAGAAATTCCCTGCTGAAACAAGACAAGAACAGCAGGGGATAAAGGTGGAGGAGCTGCTTATGTGCCCTGCCATGGCCAACCTTTCCTCCCCTTGAGGAGGGAAAGCCCGCTGGGCTTCCTTGATGCTTTCCAGTTTCTGCCTGAAATGTGCTGAGAGAATCATGGAATGGTTTGGGTTGGGAGGGACCTCAAAGCCCACCCAGTGCCACCCCTGCCATGGGCAGGGACACCTTCCACCAGCCCAGGTTACTCCAAGCCCCGTCCAGCCTGGCCTTGGACACTTCCAGGGATCCAGGGGCAGCCACAGCTTCTCTGGGCAACCTGGGCCAGGGCCTCCCCACCCTCCCAGGTGTTCCAGATATCGAACCTGAATTTCCCGGGTTTCAGTCTGAACCCATCACTCCTTGTCCTGCAGTTCCTGGCTGCCCCTCTGGACATTCTGTGCCTGGAGGGGCTGGTGGGGAAGATGAGGAGGAAAATAGAAGAGAGAAAGGGGAAGTGGGGAAGGAGGGAAAGAGAAGGGGAAGTGGGAAGGAGGTTAGGGAAGGAGAAAGGGAAGGAGTGAGGGGGTGAGTGGGGCCGTAGGAAGGAGCCGGCTCAGATGCCAGGATGAGCTTCCTCCTCCTGTCGGGACAGGTAGAGATAGACCCCGAGACAGCCTGAAAAAAAGCAGGAGGGTGAAGGGAAGGGTCTGTGTGGCTCGCACGAAAAACGAGTTTAAAATCAGAGGAAGAGGGATCAGCTGGGCACTAAGAATTAGGGTGGCTGCTCGGGCTGCAGGAAGGGCTGGGGGCTGCCTGCGGGTTCCTCTTGGCCTGGCTGAGTCGCAGGTGACCCCGGCAGAGCCCCCCGTGTGCGCTGAGCAGATGTGCCGCCCCCCGCCCGTAACCCGACCCGGCCGGAGCCGCGGGTTCACTGCGGGCGGTGCCGTCGGGGGAGCCCCGCGGGCTCTCCGGGAGCGGGGGAGCGTAGGGGGAGCACAGGGGGACCATATGGGGAGCAGGGCGGGCGGGAGGGCCCCGCGGGACGGCTGATCCCATTTGCAGGTAGCCGCTGGGGAGGGACCGGGGGGGCACAGCTGGCGGCCCGGCCCGGCTCGGCCGAGGGACCGGCACAGCCCCGGGGCTCCGGGGAGGATGCGGAGCCCCAACCCGCCGGGAGCGGGGCGGGGGGTGATGCCCTCTCTGCTTTTGCCACCGGCGGGGCTGAACGCCCCCGCAGAAAAGCGGGATCCCCACGATTCCCCCCGGGCCTCCGCCTCCCGGGGCGGTGCTGCCCGTCGAGGATCCCCGGGACCACCTGTTAGCGGAGGGAAAGGCCCTCGGGGTGGGAGCCGGGCAGGCAGACGAGCAGGATTTACCAGCTTCTGGCCGCTGCCGACTTTTGCATCTGTCAGGGTGCTAATTATTGCCTTTAATAGAGACAAAGAACAGCTCCTAATGATGCTCCCTCTAATTCTCACCTGCTCCTGCCCTTCTTCCGCAGCAGCGCTCCCTCGCCGAGCCCCGCTAATTGGGAAAGCTGCTCTGCTTATTGCGGCCTCCCCGCGCCTGGGGGGGGCTCCGGGAGCCCAGCCGGGGCAGGGCGGCTCCATCCCCCCGGCTCCGGCCTGACGGGAGCTCCCCATCCCGGTCCCGGCGGCGTTCGGCACCCCCGGGCTGCCGCGGGCTCGGCGGGGAGCGGGGGGGATGTCGGGGTGGTCTTAGCCCCCCGGCCGGCCCTGGGCTGGCAGCAGAGCCTGGCAGAAGGGCTCCTCCCGTCGCGGGGACCGTCCCAAGGCGCTGGCGGACACCTGGTTGCCAGCCCTCACCCCCCCGACCGCCTTCCTCCCCTCCCCACCGCGGGAGAAGTCGGGAGCGGGGGGGCTGGTGCTGCGAGGGTCACCTTCAAAGCCGCAGCCCGGCACAGAGCTGGCACCCCGAGGGGCAGCGCCGGCGCCCTCCCGGCCACCCGGGGCGGGGGAAGGCTCCTGGGCCATCGGCGATGCTCGTCCTTGGTCCCCGGGGCTTCGTCCCTGCCGTCGCCAAAGGGGTTTTGCTGGGAGGGGGGATTCCCTCCGGGGTCGGGCGAGGTCGGGCTGGGTGTCACGGCAGAAAAACGGAGGGTTGTTTCCTATAGTCGCTGGGGTGGGGGGACACTGTCCGAGCCCGCTTCCCTTTCCTGAAGAGTCGCAGGAGGATGGAGCGAGCCCCACAAGGCAGAGCCTGCAGGGGCCGTGGGGCCGGGGCCGCCTCGCTCCCCGCGGGGACCCCAAACCCGCCCCGGCCGCCGGGACCGCTCCGGTTCACGCAGCAAAACCAAAATCCCCCGGGAGCGGACTCGCTCTCGTTCCCCCGCGGGTGTCTGTGCGCTCGAAACTCCCCCACGGCCCGCGGTAACGCATTAATAATTCTGTATTTATGCGTAGGTAGCCAGCTGGTTATTTTAAATAGCTGTCTTGTCTCGGTCTAGAGAGAGAGGGGAAAGGATTTGCTGGGGCAGGGACGCGGGTTTTGGGATCTCCTGCCCACCCGCAGCCCCGAGAGCGATGCGGGACCGGCCCCCCGGGGGCTGCCGACCTCCTTTTCCTCAAACCCACGGGATTCCTCGCGCTGTTCCCCTTCTCCTCCCTGCAGGAAAGGGGAAGCCACAGGCTGCTCCACACCCTCCACGCGTGGAGCCCTTTCCTTGGGGTGTGCGAAATATTCCCTGCCCAAATACCTGCCCAGGACTGCTAAAACACACCGGGGCGAGAGACAAGATCGACTTCGGGAGGGGAAAAAAAAAAGGGGGGCCGTCCCCAAATAATTTTCCTTTCCCTTTCCGTGGATTCTCGTTTGGAGGGTTATTTGGTTGAAGGTCAAGTGCGCAGGAGCCATTACAGGCAGCAAACTCCCCACCGCCAAGTTTAATGTTTCCTCTCCCCGAATTAATGTTTGATTCATATTTAATTGATATTTAGCCCCTTCCAAGCGCTGGATTCGATGGACAAAAATTTTCACACTCCGAACGCGGTACCAGCCGCTCTTTTTCCTTGCCGCCCTGAATCTGCGGCGAACAAATGAGGAAGGGGGAAAAAAAAACCCAACAAAAAACCCAAACCCAACCCCCAAACGATTTCCATCAGCCGGCGTAGCAAACTAACAAAAAACTTGGGGAAAAGGCAAGGATGCGCCTGAGATGTTCCCATCCCTTCCCCACCTGCCTCCGCCTCCCCAGAACAGCGAGGAAGAGGAAAAGGACATTTATTTAAGATGCTTTTTGTTTGTTGGTTTTTGTTCGTTTGTTTTTTATTTAAAATCTCAACAGTGGATCGCCTTTTTTTTTTTTTTTTTTTTTGCAACCAAACAAGTAATAAATATTATTTAGCAACTTTTTTTTTCTTTTTCTTTTTCTTTTTTTTTTTTTACAAAAATAAACAGATGATAAAATCTCTGCGAGGGGCAGCGATAAGAAAAGTTGTTATTTCAGAAACAAGCCCAAGTTCTCAGTATTGCAACACGGACAGGGTGACAGTTCCTACACAGAAAGAGCATTAAAGAGTTGAAACTTTGTTAAAGGTGGCAGGAACGGAAAAAAAAACCCAAACCAAACGTGTTATACGCTTAAAAGAAAAACAACCCAACGAACCCCAAGAACCCAAACCAACGAAATCAAGGCAGAACGACCCCTTTTTCACTCATGAGGCTGACACAGGACAAGTGCACGGACGGAAAGCTCAGGCAGAGCGGACTCGCGTCGTTATCGGTATATTTACAGATCCCGAACCGGAAAGAAAACCGACAAGAGTAAAAAAAAAAACAAACGGCGGGAGGGGGAGCGGGGAAAGCGGGAATAAACTGACTTTCCCGGCGACAATTCCAGCCGGAGCCCCGCTGTCTCCGGCCAGCGCCGGGTGCCCCGGAGATGGGCTTTCCGGGGAGGAATGTGACTCAGGAACGGTTCCAAAGGCTCTACGTGTAGAAACGAACCCGGGAGAGGGGAGGGAACAAACGAGCGAGCAAACAAACGAGCGAAAGCCCCTCTGCAGTTCTGGTTCCTCCGTTCGCGGCGAGCCCGGGGCCCGCCCTCCCCTCCTGGCGAAGGCATCGGCGACGTCGGAGAATTAAAAAGAGAGGAGACGCGCGGGGCTTCGCTTGTGCCGGGGTGGTTTTCCCCCCGGTCGGGGAGCGGGGCAGACCCGGGCCGGGCTCCGTCCCCTCCCGCCGCCCCTCCGCCGGCCCCGGGAGCGGAGCGGGGGGGTCCCGCTGCCTCCGGGGGGAGCGTTTGTAGGTCCTGGGGGTGCCGGGGCGGCGCGGGCGCGGCGGGGCGGCCCCGCCGAGGGGCTCATTTGGTGTCGGTGGCTAATCTGGGCAGGCTGGCCGTGCCCATGCCGGAGACGTGGTGGTGCGGCGGGGCCGACACCTGGCACATGCTGCAGGGGCACGGCATCCCCCCCCAGTGCTGGAAGCCGCTGCCCAGCGGGGCGGCGGCGGCGGCGGCCGAGGGCGACTTGAGGAGCCCGTGCGGGGGCCGGATGGAGCTGACGGCCGAGAGCCCGGAGCCGGGCAGGGAGGCGCTGGAGACGGCGGCGGGGGGCAGGATGGGGTGGTGCACGGGGTGCGAGGCCGGGTGGGCCGGGTGGCCGGGCAGAGGGGCGGAGTGGGCGCCCATACCGCCGGGGCAGGCGGCGGGGTGGAAGCCGGCGTGGTGCCCGCCGTAGATCTCGCTGACCAGGCGCTTCATCTCCTCCAGGGAGTTGGTGAGCATGAGGATGTAGTTGCGCGCCAGCAGGAGCGTGGCGATCTTGGAGAGCTTGCGCACCGACGGGCCGTGGGCGTAGGGCATCACCTCCCGCAGCCCGTCCATGGCGATGTTCAGGTCGTGCATCCGCTTGCGCTCCCGGCTGTTGATCTTCAGCCGCAGCTGCTGCAGCTCCGGCTCCGTCATCTGCTTCTTGTCCTTCTTGGAGGAGGAAGAGGAGGACGAGGAGGAGGACGACGACGAGGACTTGAAGCCCAGCTTGTCCACCACCACCACGCCCGCAGCGCTCATGGCGCTGCGCAGCTCCGCGCTCAGCTCCGGCGGGGAGTCGCTCTGCGTGGAGCTGGACACGGTGCCGCCCGTGAAGCCCCCGCCGCCACCTTTATTCCTGGCCGTGAGGAAGAGGTCATCGGGCTCCGGGGAGGACGGGCGGCTGGAGACCAGGCTGGCGTCCGAGTCCATGGCCCGGCGGGCGGGGCGGCGGCGCGCACCGGGCTCTGCCTGCGGGGAGGGGAGAGAGCCCGCGGGCGGCCCCGCGTCAGCGCCCGCCCAGACTCGCCGCGGCCCCGCCACCCGCCCGCCCGCCCCGTCGGGGAGCCCGGTCCGCGGGGCCGGAGAGCGGCTCCAAGGGCGGCACGGGCCGCGCTGCCCGCCCTCCCCTCGCCGGGGGGGCACTTCTCCTCCCGTCCCGTCCCGTCCCGTCCCGTCCCATCCCTCCCTGGGCGCCTCTCCGCCGGGCCGGGGGCCGGGGGTGCCGCGCCGGGGGTCGCGGGGGGCACTCACCGTGCGCGGGGCGGCCGCGGGGAGGGCGCGCCGGGACGGGCGAGCTCGGCAGCAGCGCGCACCTTGCGGCGGCCAACGCGGCCGCTTTATAGCCGCGCCGGGGAGGAACGATGTCACCGGGCGGGAGGGGGGCTGCGCCAATCCGCGGCGGCGGCGGGGGGGGCGGCTGATGTCACCGGGGCCGCTCCGGCTCGGCGGGGCGGGCGGACGGGGGGGGACGGCCGGCAGCGGCGCGGGGAGCCCGGCGGGGGGGAGGGACTTTTGTCAAATCCATAATAAAATGCAACAATGACAGCGCCGGGAACAGCTGTTGGGGGGGCGGGACGGCACGGGAGCAAACAGCCCCCGGCTGCCGCCGGCACGTCGGTGTTTCCCCGCGCCCCGTCCCGCCCCGCCGGGGAGGCTCAGCCGCACGCACCGCGCGGCCGGCGCTGCCCCCCGAGGGTGTCCCCTCCCGCCCCCAGCCCGGGCGTTGTAATCCCGTTAAGTGCAGCAAAGGGAGACGGAGAAAAGAGTGATTTCGACCGCTCTGTTCCCCACGAGCGAATTTCCCGGCGGAGCCCTCGACTCCGGCCACGCAGCAACCTGGAGAAGTGCTGGGAGCGGCCACCCAAGGCTCCCCAAAAACGAGCCTTCAGCGAGCCCGGAAGGGGAGAGGAGAGAGAAGGAAAGAGTAAAGGACATTAACCAAAAAAAAAAAAGAAAAAAAAAAGAAAAAAGAAAAAAAATGACCTTCGGAAGTGCCTCCCACCTTCCTCCGCTGCTCACCCGGCTCCCGGCGAGTCCCCTCGCCCCGGCAGCTCCGTGCAACAGGGTCGGGGCTTCCTCCCGCCAGGGTAAATCCCCCGGCCGCCCCCTCCCCGCCGTTCCCCCCCGGCCCCTTTGCCTTTGTTGTATTATTTTTACACCCGTGTGTTTCCCAGCTGGCCCGGCAAGCCTCAACCATCCGTTAAATATGTATTTAAAACGTTAAGAAGTGAAGCGTGGAAATGTGTTTCCCAACGGTTGCGGGGATGATCCGTAACAGGTCAATTAGGAAAATCTGTCCCAGCGACAGCCGGGCCCGCCGCCCGCAGCCCGGCGTGTGTCCCTCCCGGCCCCGGCCTGGCCACCGGGGACCTGCCCCGGGCTCCCCCCGGCCCCCGGTGCCCGCACCCGCCTGCGGGGAACGGGGGGACCCCCCGGGACTGGGGGGGAGCTGGGGCCGAGCCCCGGAGCGAGCAGCGGGACGGGGAGGGGGGACACAGGTCCGTGCAAACTTTGCGCGTGTGGGGCGGTGCGGGAGCGTGGGGGGAGCCGCGCTCTGCCTTTTGGCGGAGGGCTCCGCGCGGAGCCTTGTCGGGGCCGCAGAAAACACGGCAGCGACGAGCACAACTAATTAAGCCCCGGCGCCTTCCCCTCGGCCGGCGGCTCCCGGCAGGGCCCGGCCTGCGGAGGGGGAACGGGCCCCGGCCCGGCCCGGAGGGGCGGCGGGGAGGGGGCGGTCGCCCACGGGGCCGCGGGGCCGGGGCGAGAAGGAGAAAAACGCCGGCATCGCTCGTCTCCTGCTTCCCAGGGCTTGGTAATTTTCCTTCTTAAAGGCTGGGACCTTTCCTTCTTAGAAGGTCGGATCCCCAAACGGGGGGTGTCCCATCCTCCCCGTCGGGGCTGCGGCCCTGCGGCTCAGCCTCGGGGCAGAGCGACCTTCCCGCCGCTCCACGAGCCCGCGGGTGGCATGGGACGGCTCGGGGGCAGTGGAGAGGGGGCTGGAGCAGAGCTGGGGGTCACCTGCACGAAGGGACGGCGGGGAAA